AAAAATTTTTTAATGAGGAGCAAAAAGAATTTAATAATTTATTTATTTTACCAGTATTAAAAATCTTCAAACACATACATGTGAACCCCTATAATTACTCTGACTATGAGTATCATATATTCCGAAAATGATTCGTCATTCATATTGTCTCAGATGACTTCGGAATTGGTGTCACCATCACCATTTTTCCACACATTGTCATCTTCCGTGCTACCCAATCGATTTGTTATACAAGAATTAAATTTTTTTTGTTTAAATGTGAACTGTGTTTTTTGTTTTCAGTATATGTATTTAGCAATTGTGATGCTCATAAACTAAATTTAAGAGCAACTTTTGAATTTTTAATCGAACTTTTAGAAAATATCGAAACACTATAAATCAATTTCGATTTTTATAAAGAATATTAGGAAGAATTGAGGAAGAGCCACAATCTTATATTTAGTAGATAGAAGCTTTATAAAGGGTGTTTTTTTAGAGGAATAGAACTTTAAATTGCAATAAAACAACGATGTATTATTCGATTGACATGAATTTTTTTTTATTCGAAAGATAATCTTGTGGCATTACATTTTTAAATATGATTTCTGGCATATGACTGCCACGGCTGGCTCGGATGTAGTCCAATCTGGACGTCCTATTTTCGATGACTTTTCCAACATTTGTGGCCGTATATCGGCAATAACACGGCGAATGTTATCTTCCAAATGGTCACGCGTTTGTGGCTTATCCGCATAGACCAATGACTTTGCATAGCCCCACAGAAAATAGTCTAGCGGTGTTAAATCACAAAATCTTGGAAGCCAATTCACAGGTCCAAAACGTGAAATTAGGCGGTCACCAAACGTGTCTTTCAATAAATTGATTGTGGCACGAGCTGTGTGACATGTTGCGTCGTCTTGTTGGAACCACAGCTCCTGGACATCATGATTGTTCAATTCAGGAATGAAAAAGTTAGTAATCATGGCTCTATACCGCGATCACCATTGACTGTAACGTTGTTGCCTTCATCGTTTTTGAAGAAGGATTCCACCAGCCCATAAAGCGCACCAAACAGTCAATTTTTCTGGATGTAACGGTGTTTCGACATACACTTGTGGATTAGCTTCACTCCAAATGCGGCAGTTTTGTTTGTTGACGTAGCCATTCAACCAGAAGTGCGCTTCATCGCTAAACAAAATTCGCTTATGAAAATCGACCATTATTTTCGAAATAAAATGGCACAATTTGAAAGCGTTGTTCAGGCGTGAGTCTATTCATGATGAATTGCCAAACCAAACTGAGAAGAAATCACTTGACAGCTGTTAAATCGGTCGCCATCTTGGAAAGTAATGACAACTTAAACTTCTATACCTGGAAAAAAACACTCTATATATAATACAATACCAAAAGATTGAATAACAAGTAAAATCGTTAAATGCTTTTAAGGTATCCGAACACTTTCGGAGCATTTTTTAACAAAATAATATATTTAAACATTATAAAGGCTTTTTAGGACTCAATACCAATAAATACTAATATTTAACTAACAATATTTAAAATAAATTGCCTAAATTTCACAAAAATCGCAATTATAAGTGAAATTTTAGCAACATTTTTGTAAAACTTCAAAGCAATTAAAGAAAAAAAATAAACTTATATTATTAAAAATATTGATAAAACAATCTAGATGCATTTATCTAGGGAATGTACTAAAATTTTAATGTTTAATTAAAATTTGAAAATTTTAGAGTTGTCTGAGTAAACATAAGAAAAATCACATTCTTTATGAGACCATTATTTAAATAACAAGTCCTAACTCAAAAAATATTCATACAATAAGAAATATTTTAGTACGTTCTCTAGAAAATAGCATAAATAGCAGGTTCAAAAAGTTTTATAGAAATACATTTGTAATATTTTGAGTAATCAGACTAGCCATGATAGATTTCGAGTAATTTAAATGCCCACTTCTGGTAGATCAAAGACCCACTTCCGGTTTTTCTGACTTAATAAAATCGATTGTACCTTGGCCTCTAGGTAGAGTAGAAACAAAAAAAATATGTTTTGTAAAGCCAAAAGATAACTCTATTCAATATAAGAGAAAACAAAAATATCTGTCTTGACCGAATTTGGTCATTTTCAACGTGTTCGGATACCTTAATGCGGTATATTCCGGGGTATAAAACGCAACTTTCTTTCAAACTACATTTTTTAAGTTTATTTCAAACTACATTTTTTTACGTGCCGTATAACGTGCACGTGAAACGTACATGTGCAGTGTTCTCCTGAACCTGACATAATTAAAAAATCATTTAAAAATAGAACGTAGCATATCTAGCAATTTAGATAGAACGGAAGAGGACCATTTGCTTAGTAATATTGATAGTGCAGAAATATAAAACAAAATTGGCCTGAAGATGTAATAAAAGACGAATATTCGGATATACTGTACTGTGTGAATATTCGGATATACTGGATATACTGTACACATAATATCCAATAATGAAAGTATTGAGAAACAAAAATCTTTTAGTTCATAAGGTATGTCATTTCTTTTCCGTCCGAGGAGCTTAAATAAACAGTATTGAGATGTCTGTAGAAATTTTATTTCTTATACTCATCTTTTCTTATATTCATCTTATACTCATCTTTGATGTATTACTTTGCTATTCTTTTTTGAAACGACCTTCAGGATAAGAGATATTTTAATTTTTACAAAAACTAGAGCATTTTATCTTAGTTGTTATATGAAAAGCTAAGGCTTTTAAAAAGAGTGATTATATTCACATAAAGAACTGTAAATTTTGTAATTAAACGGTGATTGATAAATCTGAAGGTTAAAACACTTCATATACATACATACACAAAAAATGTCAGCGAATTATTTTAAAAACTTTTTGAGTAATTGCTGTCCCCGTTTGAATTTTTCGAAAAAAAAACACATTTCGAGTAAAACGCATTTTAAAGTTTGACATCTTATGTAAAAAATACCAATGGCATCTGCTTTTACTAAAACGCTTGTAGTTTTTGTTCTAGTAAATGGAAAATAAAAAAAATTGGTATTTTTATAAAGCTAATAAGATGGCCTATAAAATAAAACCATAAAAACACACAATTGTCTATTTTTAAGAAAAATCATGATTTTAGGGTATTCGGATACCTTAACAGCACAATCGTTCTTTTTAAAGCCTTCACATAATTACTCTTTATTACCTAATAATGCCCAGGCAGTAAGCCTTAAACAAAACAAATGTCAGATATTACGTTGAAATTTTTCTATTTCGTTTCACAATTCTTCAATTAGTTCTATGTAATTTAGTATCATGTTCTTTCTGGAATGGCTCTTTGCCACCCGATCTATCTTGCTGTTAGGTCATGGTGGTATGTAATTATACAGGGGGATTCGTAAAGAAATAAACAGTTTCAATGTATTATAAATCAAGATCTATGTAAGGCATTATATGTCACCTGTAACAGAATTGTATGGAACAATTTTAAATTTTGTTAGAGACAGTCACAGATATTCTATGTATGAACTCTTAGTTACACGACAAGCATCGAGCTGGTAACTCCTTTTCACCCAAACGTGTATCAAGGTATCAAGTCCATTGATGGCGACTGTGATACGTTGTGTAGCGATTCCTGTCACACAATTGTAAATCGGATTTTCGTGTGGATAGGATCACCACGCTCAATGAACACCTGTAACTTTAAAATATTGCGTGGTCTTGTCTTGAGCATCCCCCGGAAATCTTTGACACCACGAGGAGCCCTCTTACTCCACCCACGAACCAGATGTAACTTGAGGATAAACACTCTAACCCCTATCATCCCGAAGACCTTAGAGAGGGTAGAGAGAGAAGGCGATAGGAAACCTTAGCAGAGACTGGAAATGACCTCCTCCCTCACAAACAACATCATTTCAACTCTAATGATCTCAACAATATGTTTAATAACTTCAATGTATATACTGTGATTAATAGCTGAAAAGTAGATAAACTAAATATTCAAATTAATAAATGTTACGCTAACTTTATTTATCTTAAACGTCACAGCTGTTTCAGCTCCATCCAGGACTTTTACTTGTGTACAAGAAGCCGGCAGTTTTCAATTTTTCAAACCATTATTAGATAAATTTTCTAGTTGGAGGTTCTTCTACGAACTGTGATTGAACTTGCATTTGCACAACTGTTGTGGATTCCATTTAAGAACACAAAAAGCCTTCTCCACTGCAGATCGACACATTTCGATTGACTAGTCAAGTGAGACGACTTCCATTGATTACGTCACTTCTATCAGGCCTTAACACAAACTTTAAGACTACATTTACCTAACGCTTTACTGAGATGGTGCCTATCTTTAACTGTTACTGTTTTACGGCATCTGCAAAGTGTATACTTCTTTACGAATTGCCCTGTATATTTATTAAACTGAATGCTGATAGTGTAAATATCTTCATTTTACTTTCTATTAATTTTTCTTTGAAAAAGCTTTTCAATTCCTTCTTTTTGTGTTTACTCTCTCTCTCTCTATATATATAATCCATAAATATATACAAATAGTTATAAACCTAAGTATAACCAGTCAACCATGTATATATATATATATATACATTTCCTTTCCTCTTGATACGTAGTATGACAAACTATAGGTGAAGGTTGGCTAGCCCTAAAACTTGTTTAAACCTGCAATCTTGGTTCCTAAGGCCAGGAGTTTGTTATTGTACTACTGTACCTATTTCTTCCTATTTAGTATAGTTATCTTAGGTTCTATAGCAATCTGTGTATTTATATATTTTGGATTACATATATATATATATATATCTTGTTCACATTTTCAATCGTTAGTTTCTATTCATCCATTCAAGTTCAAAAACATTTTTTAAACTTGTAGTGGAAGACACTTGATGTTAATACAGTTTTTTAAAATATTTATTCATTAGTTAAACTTAATTAATGAATAAATAGTAACAAACAAAAATAATATTCCGACAAGACTCATAGGAAGCAAAATTGTTCGTTGTGTCAATGCAGCGCAGTGGATAGCGCGTTGGACCTCTAATCCAAAGGTCGTGGTTTCGCATCCCATTTGGGATGGCCGAATTTCTGAGAATGGGATTTCTTCTTTACTTTACTATTTTATTACAATTATTAAATTTAATTACTGAATAAACAGAAACAAAAAAAAGTCCAACACCCTATATAGAAAGGAAAATGCAAAATTGCAAAGAAAATCGCTTTCTATTTTGCCACTTAATAGTGTGATTCTGATTTATGCATATACATATTTATATTAATAGTAACCATTTAATAAAAAGTAATTAAAATAAAATTTTTCTTTGTTGACCTAAGTAGGAATTGATTAAAAATTTTTTTAAATATTATTTGCTTAGAATTATCTTTGATATTGCAGTCACATGCACACATTATGGAAAACATCTTCAAGTTCTTTGAAAAAGTGAATAACTATTATAACTAGGGGATTTAAGACGCCTTATACTGTTGCGTCAGCATAACGGCAAGAGCTTATGAAATTTAGAGTAACTGCAATAATTTAAACTAATAACTCTCTGACGTGTCGCCAAAACTTAATAAAGATTCTGAGTACTTTATTCCATTAACGTTAATTTGAAACGGGTGGAAATTATTAAGCACATTCTTCAGGAACTGATGGAGTATAAATTAACTCCCCTTAAGGAAATAATTGACATCATTTTAATCATATTCAAAAAGTGAAAATTAATTTAATGAACTTTGATAATAACGAAATTTCGAGGTGTTAAAATTTCATCTGAATGGATGAGAGAAATGATTTAGGTTGTTAAATAATTGGAAAATATATTGTATGCATTTGAACAACGAGATTATAAATTTCCCCTGGATGACCAGTTTAAAAATGGTGCATAGCTATCTCATTGATTTTTTGTATATTATCTCAATGAAAAATTCTGTAAGCTGAAAAACACAGAACTGTATTTTCATGTAAAACGTGCTTTTACAGTAACGACTTGATAAAATAGATAAACAAATGCTGTGTTAATATTTTTGTAACACGTTATGTGATTACGCTATTTAACGTTTTTACTTTTGAAGTACAATTTCTCTTTCAGCTTCCGAGATTGAGTGAGTGTTTTAATAACGTTACTCTATACAGCAACACGAGGGATTTGGGCGATGGAAGCTCATAATTTTGAATCATGGTCAAATGAAGGGGAACGACACCTGATCTGGCACCCTTCCCCTGAACTTACACACCACACCAGTGGAAGGACTTTGAGCATCAACAGATTTAGCGTGCATTATCCTCTACACGGACTTTTAATGGCACAAGAGGCTCAAACTCATGACATACCAGCTAGTGGAGTTACGAAGAACATTAGGCCCCCCTGCAAAGTCAGGTTTTGGGTCCCAAGCCTAAATACGTACTTGGAGTCAGTCTTTGAGCCCCCTAGAATCTCTGCCCCCGCCGCAATGCGGGGGTTGCGGTGGTGTACGTTACACCCCTGATACCAGTCATGAGTCAGTGACCATCATTACTAGGTCTCCAGCTTCCGAATGTGATAGTGAATATTAACGTCGCATTGTTCAGCTATTCGAGGGCTTTTGGTGATAGACTGCGTAATTTTAAACCATGGTCAAGTGGCGAGGAGCACATCCGAACTAGCATCTCCTCTTCTAACTTCCACACCACACCAACGGGAGGGCGTTTGAACCTCGATGTGTTTAATGTGCATACTTTGCATGGCAGGTTTTCAGTGGCACTAGACTCGAACTCAAGACACGCCAGCTATGTGTCCGTTACCTTGACCGTTAGGCTACCACGGCCACTCCAGCTTTGGAGAAATCTAAGTAAAATTTATATATAAGCAAAATACCTTTTGATTTGTCAGACAATGCAGTTTTATCGAAAAGTTAAGAGAGAGAGAGAGAGATTTATTTGTTAATTTTTGTTAAGGTATCCGACTACGTTCGGGACCGTGATTTTAAAAATGCGCATAAATGGATAATTTTCATAATATTTAGTGTCACTTAGATTAGAATACATGTATAAAATTGTTTTAAGGACATTTTGACAAAAAAAAATTTATTTAAATACAATATATTGACAAAAATTAACTTAGAATAACCTTTTTTCAAAATGTTCTCCTTCTGTGAAAAATGCTTCTATTTTAATAATATTTTGCCTGTATATAGCTCAGACCTTTGTACAGAGGCTCAACTACTATTTTTGAAAAATTCACATTATTTTCAGAGTTACAACCCATTGAAATAATTATTGGCGTATTTTTCTTAAAATTTCTCCCCTCTGTGGTCGTAAAACATGGATAAACCCACTTCTAAGTTATATATTTCAAAAATTCTCGTTGAGCCTCTGTACAGAAGTCTGAGCTATACACAGGCAAAATATTATTATAATAGAAGCATTTTTCGCAAAAGGAGAATTTTGAAAATGGGTCATTCTATGTTCATTTTTTGTCAAAATATTGTACTTGAATAATTTTTTTATTGTAATACTATTCTTAAAACAATTTTATATAAATTTTCTAATCTAAGTGACACTAAATATCATAAATATTATCCATTTGTACGCTTTTGCAAAATCACGGTTCCGAAGGAAGTCGAATACCTTAAAAGGTTTATATGGGATATTGAGCTACACGAGGACTATTATTCCAATGAAATTAAATGTTTGGATTTTGTGATCGTTTAAAGAAACGTTCAAGAATTCTTCGAAAATTATTTGTAGCATGGATATATTTTGTGGAGATTTATTTTTTTCTTTATTACGCCAGACAAAAAGGTAGGGTTGTTGGATCTTGTAATTTGAGCCTCGGTCAATTGACGATAACCTAAGTGAGTGATATCTCTACTAGATCACGCCAACGGGAGGACTTCATGCCTCGACAGATTTAACGAGCATCAGCCCCTCTACACGGTGGATTTTCAGTAGCACTTGGGATAGAACTCATGATAATCCAAGCATGAACTCATTACCTTGACCACTAGGCTACCGCGGTCTTCTACTTTGAGGGGAATTCTACAGAGAATGCATCACATTTGGCTGACAAATACACACACACGCACTCCCACAAGTTAACAGAATATATTCCAGATAATTCATACAATTATATAAAACACAATCTGTTAACTTGTATGCGAATACAATCTACACAAATTGCATTATCCAGTCGGTTGAGTTTGTATGAGTGTCAAAGAATAAAGAGCTTCTTGCTGAAGATTGACAGTGCTCAGGATTTATTCTTTTTTGCTATTGATCCAGTTTGATGTAAAAACTTAATATCCGAGATGTGTGCATTTCTTAATAATTCAAAATATTCTATAGGATAAAAACTTTTACTGGTTTGATCCTCTTTCCTTAAAAATAAATAGGAAGTGATTTCTTTTGGAGAAATTCAGTGCATGTATTTATAAGATACTACGAGTATAACTGTGATTTTGTGAGCAAATTTTAAAGAAAACTTTATAGAAGTCTGAAACAGTTACGTAGTCATTATTTTTGTTTCGTGGTTCATAAGTTACTTTTTTATAAATTTGGTTTCCTACGTGAATAATTGCCATGCGTGACTTCTCTTTTTTAACATGTAATAATAGTATGACCTCGATTATAGAACAATCACCTTGTGACCCAAATGCAAGCTGTTCAGTTGTAGTGGTGTATATACATTTGAGAGCCGCTTGTTGAATTTTACCATCGAATTTTTAGAGGTCCATGGGAAGACCACCAGCAATCATTTGTCAAGTACCATTGCGTGCTGGTGGCGCGTGAGCAGAAAGAAAACCAACGAGCTACACACGTCGGCGTCTTAATTTGAATGGCGAATTCCTTCTGCGTGCTTCAAAATGCAAAAAGATGCATAAGCAATGTATAAGTTCAAATATATATATTCAGAAAGGGGCCATGGTAGCCTAGAGGTCATGGACACGAGCTCAAGGCTGGCGTGTCATGAGTACGAGCCCAAATGCCTCTGAAGATCCATCATGCTGAGGGTCTGATTCTGGCAATTAAGGGGTTATATTTGTCATGGCTTAATGTTCTACGGTGTTGGTGTCGTAGTTTGGATACGGAGAGGCCTGCCAGATCAGGTGTCCTCCTAAACACACGACTGGGGTTATAAATTGCGAGGTCCGTTGCCAATAGCCATCATCTTGTGTTAGAGTGCAATGTGTAAATAAACCCTCACTAATTTACATAATTACTGGTTCAGAATATCGGCTACCAAGTGACAAGCCCTGAATTCGAATCCGTTAATAAACATCCATAACTTATACGGATTCGAATTCAATGCTTGTCACTTGGTAGCCGATATTTCCTAAATCCCTTTGTTGAATTAGGAAATGTAATGCATTTCCTAACTCGTCAAAGGGATTTAGGTCTCTAACAAAGGACACGAATTTCGCAAGCATCAATTTTCAAGCTTTGATTCTACTTAAACTTGTCATGCAGAGTAAAGGAAGTTACCACATATCAAACGGAAATGTCAAATTCCTTTATGAGTGCATTATAGAAGTTGATGGAGTGGAGATCAGGTGTAATTTTTCTCATGTGACCAAGGTTCTAAATGAGAGGAATAATCCTTTTTCAAATCTAATACAAGTAATATTAAAAAAAGATTTTTTAAGTCAATTCCTACTTAGATCAACAAAGAAAATTTTTACTTTAACTACTTTTTATTAAATAGTTGCAATTACTATAAATGTGTACATAAATAGGACAGAATCACAACATTAAGTGGTAATTAATTTTTATTAATCATCATTAAAGTATCGTATTGTCATCCCAAGCAATCGTATATATAAAATTTCAGTTCAACTGAATGCTTTAAAACGCGAGAAAAAAATCTTTTAAAGTTTTGACCCAAGTCGCTAAAAATAAAACTAACGTGGCTGTATCTGTAATTCTTTAAATAATTAGTTTCAGTCAATTAACTTTAATTAATTATATTAAATTATCGTATTTTTACCCCAAACAATGGTGTTTTGAAAATTTAGTCAGCTCAAATGAGCGCTTTGAAATGTGAGAAAAAAAAACCTTTTCAAGTTCTGACACACAAGTCGCCAAAATGGTCGCTAAGTCG